GAACGGGGGTCATATCCTCGGATGTCCTGTTAATATTTTCAGCAAAATTAGTAATTGCAGATTTTTGAGCCCAAGGAGACCCCTTGAGTGCCTTTGGCTCACCCTCGGCCATGGAGACCCTGTGGTTTGACATGCTCTAGTTTTTGCTCAGCGTTCCCTAAACTTACACGTGGCCAATTTGTCCAAGATTAGTACGCATGAAATCAAAGGTATCTAATTTTTAATTTAGTTTAGAACGATTATTCGTTCAGCCCTTGTCAAGTTTGGTTTGCAGACAAACCGGTTTCGGCATTGTGCAATCTTGAGTATCATTTTTCGTTCTCCCAAATTTTTAACTAAAAAATAAGCCAGCAATCAAGTGATCTCTAGGCAGTGGCGGATTCCTTGAAAGATAAAGATGTTAATCTAGTAACACTTAATTGCGGTCTTGATTAGTGACATCGATGACGCCTTTGATGAAGAAGAACATAGGCCAATGTATTTGGATGAGATTGTGCGACCAATAATAAGCGGATACCGGCTAAGCCGTTCGAAGCCGGGGATGAAGAGCTGGTACGATTTATGTACCAGCTGCTATGGTCTGATGAATATATGCCCGAAGACTGGAGTCTCAGTATACCCTGCCTAATTCCCATGAAAGGGGAATGCTGCTATTTTCAATTCCATCTACTATGTAAGTAAAAAAAGCCTATTGACGACACTGAGCGAATGACTGAAATTCCTCATGAACAAACTGATTCAAACTACGAAACTAGATACTACTTTTTAGACACATTTTCTTGCAGATTCTTTTTGGAAATAAGCTCCCATCTGAACTAACACGAAAATGCTTTTGTATGCAGCATTTTCCAATTTATATAAATGCGAAATTTTGGTCCAGTGATGAATGCGGACAAGACAAGTTACCTGCTGGCAAACCACAAAAAGTCCTCACGTATTGGAACACACGCCACTGCCAACAGTTATAACTGTGAAGTGTCTATCTAGGATGCAGCGTTAAGATCACATGTGATGTCTTCCTGGAGATCATTCGGTGAATAACTCTACAGGTACTACTACTCGGTAAGCAATTGAAGATCAGATCCCTCTCTACATGAAAAAAAATCACTATCTACAATTCTCTCATTCTGATTGTCCATTAATATTCCGCGAAGAAATGGCAAACAAAGATGGGATAGCTTTCGGTGCTTCGATAGCAGAATTTTCCCCAAGATCTATGGCCCAGTTCGCCTGACGAAATATACGAGCTTTATTAGGATATGGACATAGTTGAGCGTATAAACCTAAAACGTACGAATGGTGATGCTCCGGTTTAAAGATACTTCGACTCGACACCCTTGGGTGAACAAAGTAAGCGAGGTCACCAATAAGTACAAAGGCAGGACCAACGGCAAAAGGATCTGTTTACACTTGGTTTGAGGGACTGGCGTAACTGCGCAAGGAAGAAAGGTAGTTGGCATAGTTTTCTCATTCTCGGCTCAAACTGATAATCGGTTGTAGAGTCATTTAAAAAAAGGAGAAGTATTCACACTATTCTAAACATTTGTTAATATAAATTTCCAATCCCCTTTCATCGAATTCGGCGCACGTCGAGGCTACTTAGCATAATTCTGAAAGCTTTTTTTCTCGTACCAAAAAGAGCAATCCAAGCTTAATTTAAATATGTATGTACTGCATTTCTTAATAAATTAAAGATTTCTATCACACAATTTTTCTACCTCTTTATCCTTTCAAAGAAGGCTTTATCAAGGAAACCGATCCATGCCTATTCCATAGTTATCAAAAACGTATCTATTCGAATATATAAAATTAAAGTAAGTTTTTTTTTCATTTTGGCGGCTTACAAATAGTTATATATACTTATGTATTTATGTACATGCCGCCTTATATCCAGAAATTTTTTTTGCTATATATGTACTTATCAAAATATATAGCAGATAGGTATGAATGTACATATACTTGTACATATATATATGATATACTATACTGTTTTTTAATATAACTGGAGAAGTTCATAGAAATACATATGTATATACATGCATATATATCATAAATTTTTATAAAAGCGTACATACATACATGTAAGTATTTTTCCCCCGACTAAATGCCAAGGTACAATATTAGGGGTATTCTCCAAATCTTGCAAAGCCATTGCACGTAGCACGGATTGCATGGATTGCATAACTTGCAAACACACAACAACAAAATACATGGGAAACGACATTTCCTATCGCTGCAAAATATGCAACGTCGAAACCCATGTATATATTTTGCAAAATAGCATAGCAAGATATATGCGACCCTGTGCTAGTTGTTTTGTTGTTGGAATTGCTACATATTTCTCTCATTCCTCTCATCTCGCTCACTTCATTTTTTTCTGCTGTCTCTTGTTATTGTATTTGATACATAATTTCGCTGCTTGCTACCCATGCATTCTACCACTTTGCAATGGGGTGCTCTCGTACTCTTCGAAATTTGGGATAGTATTTTTGCATTTCGTGCAATACGTGCATCGTGCAAGACTTCGAGAATACCCCTATTATAAAATACTCGCACATAAGCCATAAAGGTGGGCAAATGCATTAATAAATACACATACATACATACATACCTTGGAATGTACAAATATATATGTACGTATGCATGTTTGTTATAATGATATACAATCGGGTTTGAGCCACCCCTAGGGCAGGCGCATTAGCCACTCACACATATGTATGTGAACGTATAGAACATTTCAGAGGCGAGCAATTTGAAGCAGAGAGGAGGTATACAAAATCAGATGTCAGTTTTCTCAGCAGAGCAGAGGCAGCGAGTGTGGAAACGGGTGGCGGCCACACAACCGCAGCCAACTTCAACATATGGAAAATACGGCTAAAATAAGGGAAGGGGAGACTATGCGGACGACAGCTTATGGTGCTACAAGACATTAATGCGCTAGCACCCAACCTAGGGGTTGAAATACATATGTACATACATTTGTACCCACTTGCATATGCTCACATATACATACATACATACTTACATACATACATACATACGCGCATATGCGCTCGTGCGCAAGCGTTTGAGGTGTAGCGCTGCTGTTTGGCACTGCGCATGTGTAACATTAGCTGAGCAGTAGTGCGAGTGAATTATTTATATACATACATTAGGATGAATCACAAAAAAAAATCTGGTTTTCCACTGGAATTATAAAATGACTTCCGCCAAAATATTGCTGCAAACCACTCCAAAAATCGTTGCGGTTCGGATCAGTGGTTGGAACCACTGAGAAAAAGCTTGTACCGGTACAATAACCGTTCAAGAGTACCGGTTCAAAAGGTCCAGTTTATTTATGCTAAAGGATTCAAATATTACAAAAATATGACGAATTCATAATACAAAAACTAAAGGTTTTGAAAAAAAATTCTGCAAAGTTTCATCTAAATTGCAAACTTTTTAATAAAAATTTCTATGGAAAATTTTTAAATTTTAATTTGATTTTTAGCAATTTTCACGAATTTTCATCCATACAAAGTATATTGGATATTTTTTTTTTGTACGAAAGAAAATGTGTAATAGCCACAACAAAAAAAATTAATAAAACCAATGCAATCAAAGCGAAATTAGAAAAGTTTTCATAAACTTTTTTAAGGTTTGGACAAGTGGTAAGCCTAATCGAGTAGACAAAAACACCATACTAAGAATTTTGAATTGACCCTCAAAATCTTGGCGTAATGTTGATTTTTTATAAATGTATAGCTCATTATATAACAACAAGCACTTAAATCCAAATTTTAAACTTTCGACAATTAGAAAAAATCTACAAACTCCAACAAAATTGCGTCAAACCCTTTAAAAAATTTCTGAGTGCTCAGAATTTATGAGTCTAAAATGAGTCTTTCCTTCGTTATAAATATGATGCTGAGACCAGCCAACCAGACTGACTCATTTCGAATTCTTTTGGTGTCATAAATTCTGAGTTGAAACAAAGTAACAAAGTTCAAGTAGAAGAATTTTTTAGTGACAAGCTTTTTGGTGATTACTACAACAATCGAGTTATTAAGAAATATACGTTCTAAAAATTAACCAAATCGGACCATAAATACGGGGTTTCCAAATATCTCGACTCCTGCGCCACCAGCGGATTGATTCACCTTTCATATTGCATTGTCATCGGGTTCTGAGCTAGTTTTAAGGTTTTAAGTCTCTAGGCTATCGAGGAATTGGTTAAAAAATTATTCCAATAATTGATTACACACAGGTGAAACATAATAAAAGCTTGTAAAAATCCGAGTCTTTGACTTTTTTTGCTTGTGTTGTTAAGCATATTATTCCATAAAAAAAAATCAAGGATTCTTTATATGGGCGAAATTACAACTCACGGAATTGCCATCGAACAAAAAAAAATCTTGCAGTTTTAGACACAGTACTAACTCTTATTTGTATGGATCGTGGCGCACCCTAATATATTTACGTTTTATTTGTGGAGAACCGAAATTGAATTTAGTTGCACTATGGTTGGCTGTGTGTGACTATGTACTTCTAGCAGCTACAATAAATTCAATTTACGGTGTATTGTTGTGCAGCAGACATTATTGTTGTGCTACCTTTGTGCGTAGTACATACAAACTTGCATACATTTTAGCTTATATAGAGAATCATCGGGCGTCAACTGTGGCAGAGCTAGAGCGCCAGGATAATTTTTGTTGTTTATTGTACGGCGTTTGCATTGTGCCACAACACCAACAGTCACCGAAGTCATTTCCTGCATTTTTTGGTGGATGGATAGATGAATGGCATTACGCTCAGCCACTATGCTCTACGCTCGATCGAGTATACAGCTATGATGTTTTTGTGACTCGCACAGCGTTGCAGCGCCGCTGCCTTACGCGTTGCTTTGCGGTGTGCTGTGGAGTGGTGTGGTGTGGTGTGGTGTGGCAAGGCAAAGCAAGGTAGGACGTTTGTTGCGAGCGACGCCCCATGACATTTCATTGCAAGACATCGGGCACGCGACACACAAGCAAAGCAGCAGCTGTCCTACCAACAGGATCAGTCAGAACACTCACCTCGCGCACCAACAAACGTGAGTGCACAAACGAAGCATAGAAGTAGCTCTAGCAACCGCCGAAGCGGCAGCGGCAGTCAAGTCAAACGAAAATTTCGGTTGTATTTTGTAAAAATTTTCAAGTCGAAACGGTGTATTCGTAAACGGGCCAGCGAACGTGCTGGTTGTGGCGGGAAAATAGAGACAAAACAACAAAAAATAATAAATTTTAGCGAGGCAGATCAACTAAAATCGAGTACGAACCAACCGATTGTTTGTATACATAATATATTCATCTGCAAGTGAAAGACATAATCGACGTGCAGGCGCGCTAATTAGCAGCTACGCTTTAAGTGGCGCCTACTCGGCCTACTTATGGCACTGAGTATACTCAGCTACAACCTGCCGCAAGGCTTGAAGATGAGCGCCAACAATAATAGCAGCAGCAACCTTTGTGCCAGTCCGCCCACTGGCGATGAGAATTTGCTCAATAATGGAGGAGTTGTAGTAGGAAACGGGCGTACAACCATCAGCCTTGGCAAGTCTTTTAGCCGTATAACCATGCAAAATGTGCTGAGCGAGAGCAGCGGTAATGCGCTGAATATCACCAATAACGGCAATGTCAATACCATCGTACGCAAGATCAAGGATTTCGGCATGTATGGCAGCGTAAATAATGCGGGCACGCTCAGCGCTACAATTGGTGTGCGCAAGCGCACCGCCAACGAGATGGCTGTGATGAAGTCAATTGAGAAGGCAGAAGGTGAAAGTAAAGCTGAGAAACCTAAGGTGCCCAGCAAGCGTCCAAAGGTCGTCAATAAGGATGAGAATGCACGCGAAAAGACGCCTAAGAATGCTACCAATAAAGTGGCAGCTACAAGCGCGAATCGCTTAAAGCCCAACACGCCCGGTGCGAAGAAACCCGCTGGCACTCCGGGACGCAAAGGTCTGCCGCTGCCACAGGCGGTGGCGCGCCGGAATGCGCGTGAACGCAATCGCGTCAAGCAAGTGAACAACGGTTTCGCAGCACTACGTGAGCGCATACCCGAAGAGGTGGCCGAGGCGTTCGAGGCACAAGGCAATGGGCGTGGCACCGTGAAGAAACTGAGCAAAGTGGAGACGCTGCGCATGGCTGTCGAGTACATACGCAGCTTGGAGCGCCTACTCGGCTTTAACTTCCCCATCGGCAGCGATCGTGGCTTATCACTGATGCATGGCGGTTCATCGAGCGATGACAGCTTCACTTTCATCAAAGACGAATTCGATGCGCTTTCGCCGCCGCTTGACGACACAAATTTTGACGATACCTTAAGCAACTACGACGTGGACGAGTATTTAAATAACACAAACTTTGGCAATCAATCGATCTCACAACCGACCGCCGACGCGACTGATGCGGACGCCTACGAATTTGACTTGCTACCGAACCTAACGACCATCAATGGCATGCAGTATATACGCATACCGGGCACCAACACCTATCAGCTGCTCACCCCAAATGCACTCTTCATGGGCAATGCACCGCACTCGCCGCCAAACTCCAGCCTTGATGATGAGTCCTTTCAGGCTTTAATCGACACTAATTGCCTAAGTCCTGCAGCAACAACATCATCGCCACATATTTCGCCGTCGTTGTCTGCAACATCAATTAACGCTGCACCTGCCGCGATGGCGGACGCATTACAACGGCACCCTGCTGGGCCCGCGCCGACCGATGGGGAGACACGCGAAGAATGTGTAAATGTAGCGGTTGCCGGCGCATTATCGCGATCGCCAGTGCAATCATCCCCAACGATGCGTTCATCATTACATCAGCAGCAGCGGGAGCAGCAAGAGCGGGTGCAACAACTGTGTCAGCCACAAACACCAACGCAAGGGTCAGCCAACTTATCACCTGCCGATAATGATACACTTTTATTACAGGCGTGTGCCACAACGACGGCCACCGCTGATGATGGCGATGGCAATGAAGACGATGCAAACGAACGCCGCCGCCAACAACAGTTTGTGGCACTGGCAACCCCTACAACGTTGTCGCTGCAGTCGCCGCACGCGATTAAGCAGGAATTCAATGATACATTAACGGACTTTGTTCCCTCGAATGTGTCGCCTTCATCCGCGAAGAATTTGTCTGCGGGCGGCGCAATGTTATTCCAACAACAATTGCAGGAACGTTTATTACTTAGCCACGCGCCGTTGTCCACAATGTCACCGCCGTCGGAACGTTGCAGTTCACGAGCCACGCCAACGAACGTGGCGACGGCCCCAATGATGGTATTTGTGCCCACCGGCGCAACAACGCCAACCACAACCGGACTGCCATCATTCTATGGCACTGATGCGGACAATTCTTATTACGAAAACACGAATATCATTTTGAAGAAGGAGTACAACAACGCTCTGCTTGATGCGGTCGCAACTGTGGCAGCAAATGAGACGTTAGTCGGGCTGCCCGACGAGAATATTATCGAGGTGTTGGATTGGTGGGAGGCGCATACGCCAAAATCAGATGGGGGTGGTGGTGTGCTGCTGTAGAAATGGCACTGCTCAGCTGTTGATGGCACGATGGGGGTGAATGGGTGGGAAATCTATTTGTAAAAGTTCGCATTTTTTTGCGAAAATTGTTGATGACGCTTACATTTTTCGAAAATGGCACCAGTTAGTTATACGATAAGAAGTAATATATTTTATACTTAAAAACATGCATTTATTGAAATATAAGCGATTGATTGTAAATATACTACTTTCCCTTTTTTTTAGTTAATACTAGTGTTGTAAACAGTAAACGAAGCAAAACAAACATTTACTTTAAGTTTTTCGGAAGACATTTCATTAAGTTTATGTGAATATGAATAAATTGGTTTTGGTTAAGTTATAGTTAAATTATTTTACTTGCATATTTGTACTGATGAAATCTCAAATAAAACATATTTTTACAACATTAATTATTGCCTTCTCTCTCTAACGCAATGTTAAAAAACAAACCTTATAACTACAATACACATTACAGATGGATAAACGTATTTGATAAAATTCAGAAAATCTAAATTTTACTTCAATAGAATTCGTATGTTGCGAAAAAAATTTAAGTCATAAATAGAGACTTTAAATTTTGATGAAAGTTTTCGGATAATTCTGTTTTCAACTGTCTTTTAGTTATCGATAAAATAATTTTAATGTTATTATTGAAATTTTAAAATTAAAATCTTCATGAGCCCGAGTAAATCTTAGTACATATTTATTCAGCTTTAAAATCACACAAAATATTTATTTTTACCTTTTGCTTGAATAATTAGCAAGCAACTACAAAAAACTTTAGAAAATGTAGAAATTTCCTGGTTAGGTGGCGCGGGTGTCGATTTTTCTCTTCTTTTATTTATCACTAATTAAAGCTTGTTTTAAAAATTTGTATTTTTAATTACTCACCTTTAGTGTTTTTACATGATTTTTTTTTTACAATTTCACCACGTTTTTCTGAAGCTCATGGAAACTTTATATCTACGGACTCTTAATCAGCACAAAAACATCTATCAAAAATAGCTTTAACGTTTGCCGCACCAAAATTGGTGTTGCCGTGTGCTGTCCAAGCCCAAAATGTCTGGATGTAAAGCCATAGCTTTCGCTAATCTCTTAAAATTTTGCTACATGAGATGAGAAACGCAACAGAAACGTCTTAATCATATTTATCATTGCTAAAACTTTTGCATCCACCTATAAACATTTATGAAAATTTTACATTAGAATTCTAAGTTTAGTTCTCGAATCGAAAATCAAGTTAGGGAACCATGTTAGTATTCGATTAGAGAATGATTAGAAAAACACTAGACTTTAGAAAACAATTAGAATTAAATGTTAGTCCACAGTTGGATATCTAACTTTTTTCTCGATATCGAGAACTAAATCCCTTTTTTGTTGATTTCGCTAGGTTCTCTAATCGTCTTCTAACCTTCTACCCCAGAGAAACACTTCAGAATTCGAATCGTTGTCTAACCTAAATTTTTGTTGGACAAAAGGCAGTTTGATATGATCTTTAGCCTATGGTTTTTCTTCTAGGCATGCTCTCAAAGGTCCGCCCCTAGATAGCAACGCCTTTCACCAGAAAGTATGGCTGCCTTCAAGTATTTAAGTAGCGGTCCATGGATACCTGTGTCTCCATTCAGAAGCCTTGAGAAGTATTCCCTCCGATGAAAAGGCAAAAATAGCCTCGAACTGGAAATCTCAATCCAGAATATTGAACGCTAAAAATTTTAAGGAATGTCAAATTCGAGAAGCGGTCTCACATTCAGAGCAGAACGTTTCTGATTGGTGAGCTGTACGGTTGTGGGGGACTTTGGTGAAGTCATTGGTCCTACCGCTGTTCATTAGGCTAGTCCTGCATCTATCCACAGAAAGCTCAAAAGACGCTGTTCTCTGAGTGACGATCTTATTACTTCAGGGCATGTATTGTTGTTACTGTTCTTGTTTCTTTTGGGGGCGCTAGACTCCTGTTGCTGTTAGTTGTTGGGTTGCTGTTTTGCCTAACGCAGATTTACCATGACTGTTGATCGTCGATGGCGAAGAGCAGGTGAGATACAAGTAACAGCTTTTGAACTGTTTGATTCTAAATAAGTGCACTCTGAACAATGCATAGGAAGAGGGATCTTGCAGTTTTCACCAATTACAGCAAGCTTTATGTATTTAACATAGCCTACAAGATAGCAAAAAAAGAGGCTTCATCTACGACGCTATTTCTAAGTTTAAGTTTATTTCTTCTAAAATATTCTAAATTCCCAACATTTGTTATCCCATAACCAACTAACAAAGCAAATAACCTATCTGCTCATATTTCTCAAAATAGCTTTAATTTTCTTTGGAAGAGTTAATGAGATTACAGTCGAAGGTTTCCTTCATAAATCTAACCAAATATTAGACTTAATGATCGGGTTAATATAATTGAATAGGCTATAAAATAAAGAAAGAGCACTTAAGAGAGTCCTACATACTTTCTACATACATACACACATACATATATAAAGCAAAAAGCCGTTAAAAAGTTGATTTTCGTTTTTATTTGCTGTTGTGGAGGTAAAACACGAACCGCGATCGGGACAACACAACAACAATAAAACCACAACCAAGCCAAACATTGACAAACCGGAAACGACCTGCAACTATTAAGCAACAATCATTAATGGAACAACAACATGCAACAGCAATAAAATTAATGAACGAAGCTAAATTTTTATACGATGTATGTACATACATATATATGTATATCTATGGGTTGGTAACATTTGTTGGTGGCTTATGGAAATTCGTAGACATTTTATGGAAAGCAAATTATGAGAACAAAGTAAACGTACCAGGGTCCTGCAGGGAGGCAGTCATTAAGCGGCGAATAGGATATACATACAAATGTATGTAGCCATGTACCTATGTATGTTTGAAAGCAAAGCAGCTAACAGTAATGTCCCAAATAAGTAAATTTATGTAAGAAAACACTTACATGCATATGTATGAGTCAGTATTTTTGTCCAACAGTTTTCAAAAAAAAAAGAAAAACGTTTTTTCTCACTTTTACCCTGCTGTCTTCCTCGGATCATTATAATCTTCGTATGCGTCCAAGCATGCAAAACCATATGGCAGCGCTGGCCGCCTAAGCACCAAAAGGGAGTAGTAGTAGCTTACATTATATAGTAGAATGCCGGATGACAGTGAAACGCTCGTCGCCTTCAAGCGATAAATGCTAAGTAATGCACGCAGCACGCAGGAGCAGCCGAATGAATGTCTTACATGTCCCGATGACAACAGCAAGGTAAAATATTCAAATGAGTCGAGCGGTCGCAGGCGCAGGCGCGCAGTCCCATCCACTGATGAGCGAAACGACCGCTGACGATTACAAAGGCGAAAGGTCTTTCTCATAGATAGATAAGAATGCATGCTTGTATGTACATCTAAAATTTTACCTTTGCGCTCATAAAAATATGAATTTATGAGAGATGTATGTACATAATCATCAAAATTATGAAAGCACCGCTAACTATCAAATATCCTGTGAATGTTCTGCAAAATGATGATTCTGTTATATGTATTTACGCATGAAAACGCCATTAGAGTATATTTTATTATATAAACACATATAAATAAGTTACCCGTATGTATGCGCATGCGTACATAAATATCCAATCCAAATTGATGAGAGTGTTGCGCATGCGGATCGACGCAGGCAACAACTACGCGCATTAAACCCAAATTGCCTTGAGTGCATGACTGTCTAAAATATTGGCCGTCACATTGACGCGCAGCACTGTCTGGCTTTATCACTGATGGACTGACTGCCTATGTACATATCTATCAGAGCGCGGTCTTTCCAAAACACTGCACATAGCTGTTGGGTTGTTCGGTATTGTCGAGGATCAGCGCACAAAATACAAAAAAAAAACACACACACTGCCATAGCCATTTGCCATAGTGTCCTCCAACAACACCAAAAGAGGCCAACAACAACAACACCACCAGTTTGGATATAACACGGCCAACAAACTGCTCAACACCGATCGCGCTTATTCGATGGCGCGTTTTGAACGTGGGAACTGCCGCGCTGACTGCGTTGGTATGTATGTATGTATTTACCTTTGATGCATATGCACGTGTATGTGTGCTTCAGTCGCCAAGTGTCCTTTTCCCAGGAGTTGGGTGTTCGATCTTCCCGTGTTCTTTTAATTTTTTTTTTGTTGTTTTCGCTCTGTTGATATTTGTTGTGCTTATGGTTTTTGATCTGCTTTTCAAGTCTCGACAGCAATTCAATGCTGCAAGGCATATTTATTTAGGTGCGGTGTGTTTTTTTCGAATAAATATTTTTTTTTTAATCAAAATTCTGCTTCTCAAATCGGCGATATTCTCAGCGTAATGCGATAGTCTGAAAATTTTGAAAATCAAATATCTACATATCTACAATACAGTAAGGTACAAACATACAATCTAATTTTCTTGCGCTTACGAAACCCATTTTCGTTCAGAAACTGTAAATCCAAAAGAAAAAAATTGCATTCGCTCTAAACGTTATCCCGTAAGTCGGTTATCCTGCGACGCCTTGCACCCATTCTTTGCCAGCGTTGCTCCGCAAGTAATACCTTTATTATATCACCATGTAATTTACATATTCATCTACTTTATATTAATTTCTGCTGCAGTAAATTTATGCTAATTTATAAGTAACCTTAATCACATTTTTTTCTGCATTCCCACCGCCAGCCCTTCTTGCTCTACTTCTTTTTTAACATATGGGTGCGAGAGTTTTCGTCTCTCACAATAGCTAAAGTCTGGGTGACATTCGCCGCCTTATAAGTTTCACATGCATACGTGTGTTTTTTTTTGCATACATACAAACATACACACATACATACTTGCAACACTTTCACTACTAATTTCACGCCTCACTTTATGTATGCAAATGCACATAAATGCTTATAGAGCAAAAAATAAAAAAATAAATCTTGAAATGCATTCAAAAGACGATAATGCTAATTTTCTTTTGAGTGATGTAAGGTGTCATTCCATGGCAAATGAACTTGAAATTAATTCCTTTCAAGAATTAGAACAAAATATTTGTGTGATAAATTAGTAGCGTAGCAAATGTTGGTAAATTTGCATGTGACAAGGGGGTTGGTAGGTATGTATTCTAATTTGGGCTTGGCATTCACTATTAACTATACTGAGGCATAGGTATATTCTTTCCACGCATTTATTATGTAAAGTGACAAATGTGGAGCGTTAAGCATTAATCGTAAATGTTACAAATAGCTTTTGAGCAAATTCAAACAAAACAAAAAAA